ATGCAATATATTCAAAACACTAAATATGATTTCATTAAATATAAGCTTGTTAAAGGGAAAATCATATATAGGCATATAAACATGAAACAAAATAGTATTTTCCAATTCTATTCATTTGTTTCATAGTAAAACTTGAAAACTATCAAACCAAAACATATATGTATATATATAACTATATATATACAAAATCCAAAACGTGTATGTGCGTATATGATTGAGCTTAAAGTACTAACACACATAATATAAATTCCTAAACTAAATTACCCAAGCAATCTTGATCTTCAACGAAGCTCTATCTTGGTAATCTTGCGGATGAAGCTTTAACTTGGATCTTGAACTTTGAATAGCAAGGCTTCACCGACATTCCGCCAACCTCCTTTGGATATGATCGTTGAAGCTCTATTCCATCCATCCTCCAACTACGTTGTTTGTCTACAATGAATAGATAATACAAGCACTAGACAAACAACATTAGTAGTAAATTGTTTGTTAATCATCATCAAAACAAGAAGGCCAACAGAACTAACCGGCAACGCGTGTTAGACGCTGACTTATCCCTACTTAGGATTCGGGATAAAATTCCCGGTACGTGTGAAACATGAATTTTGGCGTTATGAATAACAACCTGTCATAATGTCGAATATGTGGGCTTTTGTTCTTTTTACGGTTATGAACTAACCGGCAATGCGTGTTGAGCATTGACTTATCCCTGCTCAGGATCCGGGATAAAATTCCCCACGCGCAAAAGGCGTGGATTTTTGTTGCTACGATACCGAATACGTAGACTCGGTCATTTTTACGGGAATGAACCACTCATCAACGCGTGTTAAGCGCTGACTTATCCCTACTTAGGCTTCGGGATAAAATACCCCAGACTTGAATTTTGGTGTCTTTTTTAATCGGTGAAAGACTAAACCGACAACGTGTGTTAGGCGTTGACTTATCCCTACTTAGGATTCGGGATAAAATTCCCCGCGCGTGTAAGGCACGAATTTTGGGAGTTAAAAAAGTGATGTTTTCTCTTGGGGCAAAGACGAACCCGATACGGGAGAGGAAGAATTTTATATTCTATCTCCCAAAGCTGAAGAGGAAGAATTTTATATTCTATCTCCAGTTGCAAAAGGAAACTCAAAGTGAGATCTCCACTTTAAGAATCCGGGAAGGTGAAACTAAGAGTGGGATCTCCACTCCGAGAATCAAAAAGATTCGGATAAACCTAATTATCGGAAGGTTTGATTACCGAACTAAAGATGGATTTCTCGTTTATCGAGAGTGAATTGTGATTTTGGTCCTTACTGTAGGAAGGATTGACCAAGCGGGAGTTTAAGATGATCCTAACCGTAGTAAGGTTTGATCACTTGGTTTGAAAATGGACCTCTCGTTCATGGAAGGAATCGAGAGGGGATTTTGGTTTTGGTCCTAACTATAAGAAGGTTTGACCAAGTAAGAGTGGGAGTGTGAGATGACCCTAACTTTTATAGGTTTGATCACTCGATTTGTGGAACTCTCGTTCATTGAAGGAATCGATAGGAGATTTTGACTGTGGTCCTAACTGTAGGAAGGTTTGACCAAGTGAACAGTAAGAGTGGGAGTACAAATTACAGCGAGAGTGTTAATTCGTACAAATCACTCAAAGATGGTTCTTAGTGTTAAGTGGTAAATACTTAACACGGAGTAGTTTGACAATTATCAATGATTGGGAGATTAAAATTCCGAGTACTATGTCTGGACTCTAACAACGGGAGTGTTGAGTGTACAGACGTAGTGAGAGTTTAAATGGGAGTTTCGTGAGGGAAGATTGATCAAATGAAGTAATCGAATCTCATCTCAGCAAAAGAGTGTTCGGAAAACACAGTGGTGTTAATCACTTTGTTCATAATGATCGGGTTATCCCTAAGAAAATTACATGTAGGATTCTTCCGGGAACTTCTCGTTACACAAATCATCCACCCCCAGCTTCATTTGCGGAACTGGGTCTGACATTATACTCAGTTACATGACTGGGTTATCCTTAAGAATAATATGTATAAAAATTCTCCAGGAACTTCCCGTCAAGAGTGGGAAACGGTTTAGACTCGTATACCTATTGGAGTATTGAGAAGCAGTTTATACTTGTATACTATTCAGAGTATGAGAATGAGCAGTTTATATTCTTATACTTGTTGGAGTCTCGTCATTCCCATTTGGCTTATCCCAGTGTTATGATGCCGGCTTCAACCAATATTTGGATGCTATTCTTGAAAGCAAAGCAATCCTTAGTAGGATGAAGGATCCTCCTGTGGTACGCACAGTACTTCGGATCTGCAGTATTCTCATCTTCCTCCTGATCTGGGATATGTGGTAGCTTAATCTTATTATTTTTAAGGAGGGACTCGAAAATAGTTTGAACATCTTCGTCATTGAAGGAGTACTCTTTTTGGAGTCTCAAATCCGAAGTCTTTTCCTGTCTTCGGGGTTGTTGTTGTGACGTCTGATTAACGTCGATAACTGCTGCAGGTACATTGCCCTTACCACGGGAGGCGAAGTTCGAGTTCGGAGGATTGGCTGTCGGTTGGCTCCTCTCGGCCTTCTTCATTTGGAGGAAGCGTTCGGCCCGTTCTCCGCGCATCTTCAACTCTTTCCAGGTGTCGGATGGTGCTACTCCCCTAACTTCTAACACGTCCAAGGAGAGGTTGTTGTGACAGGTTTGTAGGATGAAATCCTCCATGATCGGATCTCTGCAATTCATCGCCTTATTTCGGAAGCGCTTGACAAAGTCGTCGACTGTCTCGTCGTCTTCCTGTTTCTCATCGAAGAGTGTTCTGATTGATACCTCGGCGTCATCATCAAAGAAGTGAGCGAGGAACAGATTCTCCAGGTTGTCCCAGTTGTTGATGCTTGCAGACTTGAGACGGTGGTACCAATCGAAGGCGGGCCTACGAAGGGTGTCAACGAATGACCGAACTATCAAGGCTTCATTGTCGGAGATCATACCCAAGTGGGATTTAAAGTAGATCATGTGTTGAGTGGGTGAACCATTCCCGTCAAACGACGTGAAGTTAATCAAGTTGAACTTCGCCGGGTATGCTATTGAATCCCACTCTCTTGGATAGGGACATGGAATGTCGGTCCTTTTCACCTCTCGAGCAGAATCAGAGCGTTGATTTTGCTCTCGAGATCTTTTATTTTCTCATCCTCGCTCGTATCGGGCTTTGGATGATTCTTAAGAGGAACAATGGGACCACCCCCAGTATTGTCGTTTTCGGTGGGATCACCCCCAACATTATTGTTTTTAGTGGGACCACCCCCGACGTTCTAGTCAACGGGAGGGTTATCAGCATTGAGGCGTTCATTCGCATCTGAATCGCTACCTGCTTGATTAGCAGTATTACGACGGCTGGATTCGCCAATTTGATTGGATAAAACTCGGATTTGTTGGTCATGTTCTGCCTTCATCCGCTGCATAGCCATTTCCATTTCAATCTTGAATCAAATTAACATGTGATAAACGTTTTGTAACAGTTAAGAGAATTAAATTTTGAATCGGTAATATTCATGAGATTTAAATCAGAATCAAAACGGAAAATAGTTTTTATGAGAATTAAAATCGGTAATTAAAATAAATTAATTGCGGATTTATGAGTAACGGATGTTTTAAGCCTATAAAAGGACCTAAATCTGAAGAGTTTGATACAGTGTGAAAAACACAACGTATTCTCTCTTCTTCTCTGTCATTCCTCTTCATATTACTGTTGTTATATTTTTGTTGGTTCCCTGAAAGTCACGAAGAATTCACAAAGCCTTCTTAAAGCTCGTGCCGACGATAAGGAGGTCGCCTGACCGATGGTCGTTGTATCTCCGGGAACTTTTGTCGCGTAGCCCTGTACGAGAGGGGGCAATTAGTTTCTTGGGACAGTGCTTGCACGCATCGACCATCAGGCTATATTCTAAACTCAGTTTAATTTTATATCTATTTTGAATCATTATCTAATTCTGTTAAAACTGTATTTTGTGCTAATTATACTCTAAACAGTTTATATTCCCAACAGGCGGTCACGGATCTGAAGGTGGGGCAGATGCCGGCGGAGCTCCGGCGATCTCCCTTCGCGGGCGGCGATCACGGCGAGGAGGCGCTCCCGGAGGCACGAGGCGCAGACGCCGACGCCGAGCTCGTACGGATGCCTTTTACACTTCATTGCTCGTTTCTGGTCTCTTCCGTCATTAGAGGAGAAGAATTTGATTCAAATTCGGACGTAGCTCGTGAAAGAACAATTTAGTAAAATTTATTTCTTTCTTCCCCCATCAGTCGCGTGTCGAGCTGTTTGGGGTTTTTATTTCAGATTTAGACGAGCTGGTACGGGGGAGCAATTTAGCTTAGCCGGATCCACGGACGGGGCGAGAGCCGAGATCGAGAGGACAAGAATGAAAGAACGCTTTTTGCCTTACTTTTCCACGGTCAAAGCGTCTGACTTCGTATAGTTTTCTCGCTCACCACAAATGGATCTCCGCGGAAACCTTCACTTCGACCGGCGGCGGGCCCGGCTTTACGAAAGAACCCTTATACATTTCTAATTTCTTTTTTGTACAGTCTCTTTCCTTATTTAATAGACTAGGAGTGGTATCTTTAATTCCTGGAAGAAGAAAACTGCTGCTGATGTAACAATGTCACACATCTCGGTTACCCGAAATAAATATGCAAACTGGTCCACATTTATTGAATAGTAGATGCAACATTACTTACACATCGACTTGGTGTCGCAACTCTTCAAAATATTTACTATTAATAGTATTATCCTGTGCCGCTCCGGCAATAGGGCAGCTAAAAACTTGGAAAATTTGCAGTGACAATAACTTTTTTTTTTAATATTGGAGAAGTGGCAATAGTTACAAAAGCTGCAATTTTTGAATAAGTCCCGCATAATTAAAAGAGGATCGGGCACCGCCCCCAGCCCTCGTGTGGGTCCACGCCTCATGAAAAAGGTTCGGATATAGTCTCATTATGCATTCTTGGATCCGTACCGAAACAGCAACAATTATAGCTAAAATTGAATTACCATGAAGATATAGAAAACATATAGCCAGACTTACATCTATCAAAGGATCTCAGCCTGGACTTGCAAATTTGACACGACCTTAGGTCCTTACTAAGGATGCATATAAGACATAAACATGTCAACCGACCACCTAAGTAAAACAAGGCATATAGTAGGAGATTTCAACTATCTGCACTACAGTTACAAATATCAATTACTAAGAATCTTAAGCACAAGTCCCAGGTGCAATTGTATGCATTAACCAACGAACTCAAGGGATCTTCAAACCGTGGCGGCTACTATGAGAAAGAAGTTTACCATTCTCTCATACACCTAATACGTTAAAACGATGCTGGTACTGAAGGATGGTACTGAAGGATTCCACTTTAACATAAAAGGAACCTTATTGCTGATCTCAAGACAATCCTTCAGCTATCGCACTTCCCACTTTTGGAAGCTCAGAAGAAAACTGGAAACAACGGATTTCTCATAAGGAATTAGACCAACTCTTGTAATACAGCACATTAAATCCTTAAGCACATGGTAAGATGAGCAAATTCACAGCCTTACTTCAATTCCGTGGTGCAGGGTATGACCCCTTTTATGTCAGAGTCAGAGATAGAGCAAGTTTTTACGTCTGAGTCAGAGATAAGCAAGTTTTAACCCAAAAGCTTTCTGTCCAAAGCACAATTCCTTTCCATCGTACTGAAGGAACATACACCTGACGAAATTTTTTCCTGAAGGCTCACACATGTCAGACACCGACCACAGATAAGCTTCTGTTTCTGTAGCTCGCTTCTCATTCTGCCTCTTGAATAGTTCTTTCTCATATCCTGTGTAAAAAGTCGGGAAAGCAAGATAATTAGCAAAACAGTTGCGAGGTTCATATAAGCTAACAAAGACCATTTAATTGGTCTATCATATTCCTTACAATTCCATATACTCAGTACATTAGACACTAATGCACAATCAACCAGGAGATGCCTCCACCAAGGTTTTAGAGAGAAAAAAACTCAACAGCTAGATTCTTGAAGCTCAAAAGAGCAGTAATCGACAAAAGAAATAGATATACACTGCATAAAAATTGATGGTGTGGAAGAGTTTAGGAAATCATTATCTATGTACAAATAATATCAAACTTGCAGTTATACTGTATTTATATGCACCAAGGAGTAAGATCAATTGAATTCCAAGGTTATCTTAAGCTTAGAGGGAAAATAAGGAAAATGAATTAAGCATGGACAATACCTATGTGACTCAATGCAAATATTATCTTAAGCTCAGAGTGAATTATCGCATAAAAACAACAGCAGTAAACAAAAACAATATGACTCCATGCAAATGCCTATGTTACTGTCTGTAATAACAAAAATATAACCATCCTGACTGATAAAAGAACAGTAGTAAGACTAACCATTACTACAGTCAACTCCATCCCAGTGCCGCCCTGGCCTTATACCATATCGATTTGGAGGAAAATCAATTCCCCGCTTTATCCAACTATGACTAGGAATACTTTGAGGAACTATAAAACCGGATTCTTTCATCTTCTCGTCAGTACCAAGATCTTCCAAGACAAGCTCTGAGTTCTTCTGTTACATCGATTTAAAATAAATACGTTAGCAACTGAAGATGCTAACCAATACAAAGAGTACAAACAGCTTTTTCATAAAATACCTTGACCAAATGCGCCATAGGATCACCCCATCTGATCCTCTCTTTTAACATTTTATCGAGTTCTGGATCATCTCTACAAGCAGGAAACGGAGTCAAAAGTTGATGCTAGAAATTCAACTAATACAAATAACATAACTATTTATCTTGCATAATGCAAAAAGGGAAATAACAATATATATAATATTGATACATAACAATCATTTCTCCCAAGGAAAATAGCAATCTATGTGATGCAAAAAGGGAACATGAAAAGAGTTGGCCAAACAGTACATATTCCAAACAAGCCAAAAAATCCAATATTGCATGTCAGCTTCTGAAGAACAAATTTTGTCGTAAAACGTAATAGAAAGGACTGGATTTCACAACAAATACTCTCTTATCATATTATAAATGTTGAAGTAGAGAATAGCATCATGAGGCACAATACCAACTTCACAGGTTTAAAGATTCTCTGCCACCTTTAGGTGAATCTTCCATTAACAATTCAAAATTCAAATCTTCAGGTTCCAACAAAAGTGCTTTTGTTCCATCTATTATGGAGTGCTACACTATTAAATGGTCATACTTTGTAAAAAATTATGGAACCCAATACTTAAAAAATACCAATAACGGGGTTATAAGTATACAGAACAATAGGAATAGATATTGACAGATCTATTGTTGTTGTCATCATTTAGTAGTAAATAACATAGCTGCAAATATTTTTATACTGGATAGTCCATTCCATTAGGTGTCTAGGGACATGCTGAACCATCTGTTATTCAGAATGATTTGTTATAATTCCTAAATAATGGAGTTACATAGTAATAGTTTTCATATTCTTGGCTGAGCTAAAACTACCTTCACAGGTGGCAATGAACCCTTGATAGCTTAACTACTGAGCATAAGCAGCCCTGTCTTCCAGGCAAGAATCTACAAAGGACATAAATAGGGGTTTGGTTTTTTTCCTTTTTCCTTTTTGGTTTTTGTTTTTTTGGGTTTTATTTATTTTTGGGTTTTTTTTTTTTTTTTTTTTGGGGGGGGGGGGGGGGGGGGGG